AATAGAAAAGGTTTCTCTTTTGCACAATGATTGTTGTCATGGAGACTTGATGAGATTCATAACCTGCCATCATCCTTTTTATTGTATATATAGAGGTCACAATCTGATATTGTTATCAAATATTGGTCCGATATTAGATCATATCTGCCTGCACCCAAAATCTCTGATATTAGCATGCCTATTGAAAGGTAATATGACCAGTTGGTTAATATTAAATGGGACAGTATTTCTCTTAACTGTTGTTGTTGACTAGTGTCCTTCCACATCACAAAAAAGATATTAAAAGTATGTATGAATCCTGCTGATATCATATCAGGTCATTATCGGTATTGGTCAGTTCTCAAATGTGCGATAATAGTATTATATCTGAAATAAAAAAGTTGTATTATGACATCTCAAACTGCATATGTGGGTTACATAAACCTGGGTCCTCAATCTTGTCATTTGCCACAGTTCCTGCTATTCAATCCAGATTAAACACTAGATATGTCCTCATTTACCACACTTATTTTCCTTTTTACCATTTTTCTTGTCTTTTCCATTCTTAAAGTGACATATGCTATCATATCATATGGAGCTGGAGAATTTAAAGTTAAAGAGAGTTACTATGCAGCTGTGCCATAGGACCATTTACTGTAAAAACAGATAAAAATGGTAAAAACTGTCTGCTGACAAGTTAAATCAATCTAAAACCACATGAATAAAATTACTAGGAAAGGAACCAGAAAAGATTGAATATTCTTGGGCGTAACAAAAACATGGTTTTCTTTCATTTTTTTTCTTTTTGTCCAGCATGGCAGCATAGTTAGATGGTTTGGGCTAAAATCCAAGGACTGCTCAGTGTCTGTGTTAGTGTGTGTTTGTGTGGTGTTGGCGAGTGCCAGGGAGCTCTGTATCTCATCTTCTGGACAAGTCCTTAATCTGTGTGACCCAGTGAGGGATTATGGGGGTTCTGCAATAAAAGGGGACTAGAAGGGTCTTTAAAGGCATTTCCCAAATCTTTTAGTAATATAAAAACTAAATAATGTAACAGTTTACTACTTTGTTACTTTTATTAGATTCATTTCAAATTGCAATGTATTAGAAAATATCAGGATTAATAAGGTTAAAAGTGTTAAAACCGGCTGTTGGAATTATGAACATTTAATTAATTTATCTTTGTGCTTTTTATGTCAATCATCTTAATCATATTGCTCTTACTAACTATAGTTTACCTTAGGGTGATGATTTATACAACCATAGAAAAAATTCTTATCTTAAAACCATTTTTAGTCTTTGACTTTAAACCTCAGCAAAAAAAAAAGAAATTTTATATTTATGTACTTTATTTAATTTGTTTGTATTATTTATTTTCTTTGTATTTGTTTTTTATTGTACCTGATCTTTTTGTTTTTCATATGTTTTCCTTTTAATCTATATTTCCAGTTCACATTTATGACCCACACTGTTTCCACTGCGGTTGCTTATATATGCAGGTTGTATGGAATGGTATGCTGCTTCCACACTGCCATATATTTAATCAGCTTGAAATACAAATAGATAAATCAATGTCCTGCTTCAGTTTAAGGATTATTTATACTGTCCTTTGTTTGAGTGTGCCTGACAGGGCTTATAGAGTAAAAGGATTCTTTGCAGAAATTAAGGTGAGGTTTTTAGACCAAAGAACGCTGCACAAGCTGTCAAGCAAAGTGGTGGCAGAGTTATGATCTTTAGGGTTTTACTTTAAGTCCAAAATAGGGAATGTTTAGTGATGGGTTAAATGAAATTAGAGCTTTACAAATGAAATAAACAATTACTGTTTTTTTTTTCTATTTACAAAATCGTAATTTACTGTCCATCTAGAGAGTTAAGTCTGAATAAATACATTTTACATTAAAGAAATTAAAGGGAATCAAAGAAGAGTAAACACAAATTAGTGCTTTAAATTGAATCCTTGCTTACATCTTTACCTTAGGCCAAGATAATGTATGTTTATATGCTTCTTATCTTGACTTAAAAAGGACAGCAATGCAGGATATTTAACTATAAGCAGACATTGGTTCTAACTTGTTACATTTACTTAAAGGAGAAGTTCGGTTTTTTACACTTAAAGCCCATTTTCTGTAGTGTCCAGGATGAAATCGAATGATCGACACCAAAAGTTTGACAATTGCTCCTGTCTCTGCTTTTTGGCTCATTTAGAATCAACCCCTGGCTGCTTTAGAATGGCTAGCATAGAGCATGTCCGATAATGTCCTTAAAACAACCTTAAACGTTCTTTTTTTTAAATATGCTACTCACCGGGTCGTCAGCGCTGTTCAATGACGTTCCAAAAAAAGTTTCGTAAAGAAAAAACGTTCCTGTAGTGTTTTATTTAGCATTTTGTAAATCCCATTGAGTTCTGTAGGAATAGTCAATATTCCGCTGCCACCAGAAACGGAAATGGGGCCTGTTTACACAGTTGTAGTCTTTTCGCTTCACTCTGTGTACTCCGACGTCGAGGTGCTAACGTCTCTGTTAAACACTTTAAAAAACTCTGAAAATGGAATACGAAAGGTGGATTCTTGATTCTCGACGTCGGAGTACAAAGAGTGAAGCGAAAAGACTACAACTGTGTAAACAGGCCCCATTTCCGTTTCCGGTGGCAGCGGAATATTGACTATTCCTACAGAACTCAATGGGATTTACAAAATGCTAAATAAAACACTACAGGAACGTTTTTTCTTCACGAAACTTTTTTTGGAACGTCATTGAACAGCGCTGACGACCCGGTGAGTAGCATATTTTAAAAAAAGAACGTTTAAGGTTGTTTTAAGGACATTATCGGACATGCTCTATGAAAGCCATTCTAAAGCAGCCAGGGGTGGATTCTAAATGAGCCAAAAAGCAGAGACAGGACCAATTGTCAAACTTTTGGTGTCGATCATTCGATTTCATCCTGGACACTACAGAAAATGGGCTTAAAGTGTAAAAAACCGAACTTCTCCTTTAAGTAACTTTTGGGGGAAAAAATACTTTTACAGTAGGAGAAGTTTTACAGCACTGTACTTTTTGCTTTTACGTGATTATAAATATGTTAAAATATCGTTACCGTACTTGAGTAAATTTTCTTGCTACTATGCTTTTTTTTTTTAAACAAATATGCACCAATAAGAGACGCACTTTCTCCATGCGCATTAAGTACATCTGGAGTTAGAGGTATAGTGGAGGATGTTCTTTTCTGTGGATCATTAAAATAAGTGGTCCTTATTTTGATTAATTGTCAGACATTCTGCTGATATGTTTACGTCCTACGTGTTTGCCCCCATTTTCACTTTGCAGTGATGAGTTTGACATAGTGGAAAAATTGCAAATCCTCTTGTGGAAAGTAAGCTTGTATGACTGATAGCAACTTTTAAATAAAGCATGCATGAGGAGAAATGGGCTCTCGCACGCGTTTAATAAGCGTTCACTCTCTGGAGCAGGTACAGGGTGGTGCATGTGCATTTTTTTTTTTTTGTAAGTGGAGATGGTGGGTCTTTCAATAATTCTAGAAAATGTAGTGCTACACTTAAGTATAATTTTTGGGTACTCTAGCATTGCATACTTGTGCAAGTCTACAGCACCATGAACTCATCACCTCTGTTCTGAGATTTATTACTACAGACACAAATTCATATTTTTCGTTTGTTGTGTTTTCTGAATAAAAAGTAAGAACAATACCTAATAGGGGAAGAGATTTGGTCATTTATTCAGTGGATTATATTCCCTTTTAGCTTTAGCAGAGAGGGAGAGACCCTCCCCAATTCCCAGACATATGGTGCAGAGTGGGTGTTAATATCTGCCCTTAGGGCAAATGCAGCCACTAAATGTCATAGATGTCACGTTAAGTATTCATGTGTCGGCTGTTTTAAGTGGCGGAAAACATCTGGGGAGGGGTTCTCTGGCAGCCCCCCCTCTGTCTGCACCGTCTGATCTGTTGGGAGTGTGTGCTGTGTGCAGGAGGGGGGGTTTCCTGGACTCATCGGTGGGCTGAGCTTTGTCTGAAACAGGACCACGTGGGCCCGTATTAAAACCTCATTTAAGAGGATTCAGTACAGATGGTGTGCCATTGTTTGAGGATGTGTCTGTGTTACACATAAAGGGGGGGGGTGAGTGATGGAAAGTAAGCCCCCTCCCTTTTCTTTTAATCCTTTATTTCACTGAGTAAACACACCACACCCACTTTTGACCACTTCAAGGCCACATTGATTTACCTTGCTTGAGTTTTTATTGGATTGTGGTTTGGACCAATCAGCAAGCAAACCTTGGAGCCAAACAAAGGAACACTCTCTCAAGTGAAGCAAGGCACATGGCTGTTTGGCAGCGAAGGAGTTCCGATTGGTTCGAGGGTAATCCAATCAAAGCTGAAGTAAACTTAAGTGAAGCTGTTTGCACAATGAAAGAAAAGCAACTTTGAGAGAATTAAAAAGGTCCCACATCATCCTTTGGTTTTGCAGCTCTAGATTTCATTATGAGGCCCACTATAAAAAAGTGTCATTCCTTCATAATTACATTTGCAGCCCAAACCAGTTTTTACACTTTTCTTTTCCTGCACATTGCATCCTTTCCTGTACTCTCTGTTTCTCACTCAGATCACCAGATGGAGAGGGGGCGGTGAGCACTCTGGTGTGCATGCATGTGTGTGCAGGGTGTTCATGCCTGGTTACCCATGAGTTTGCATATTTAAATATCCTTAAAATCATGTCCTTAAATGTTGAATCACTCCAAGCAGACATTCAGAAACAATAGGTGTGCATGAGTGCAGCTCCTGATAGAAGGAGTTTGTATTATTCTAAGTGGAAATGAAGCACAGTCAAAAAGGTGCATTTGGAAACAATGTGCAATTATCTACCTAATCTGGATGGGTAAAATAAATCCTGTCGTCGCCTTTTGCGTTTTGAAGCTTGATTGTTAATATACATATAGAGAGAGGGGGAGAGAGAGAGACTGCTAAGCTGAGACAGGGAGGAGAGAGGAGAGACAGAGGGAGGGGGGAGTGTATGAGAGAGAGAGAGAGAGAGGGAGCATCAAGTCGCCAGGACAAGCTCTACTGTCAACGCTGTTAAGGTAGGAGCGCAAGCAGCGGGTAAAGGCCACATTCCGCGTAAAATAATGGATGGGACAAAGCCGGTCATGGAGTCCAATGCTGAGGAGACTCAGGACGAGGGACAGGAGAGCAAAGGTATGCTCAAAACACCCACTGACATTTTGCTTTCCCCCCTTTTCTCCCCTCCTTTTTTTATTCTTTTTGCGTCTGCGCCAGCCCTGAGCGGTTTAACCTACTTGCCACGGCGACACAATAGCAATCCCATTTTTTTAAAGATAATTTTAGTGCATTTAAGCGGCAGGGATGGGTATATCTTATGTTATATATCACATTGCCATCGTAGTGTTTTTTGCAGGTGTTCTTGACGCGCGTTTCTGGGGAGGATTTGGAGGATGATGGAGAACAAGGCTGAGGGTGGGATGATGATGGTGATGATGATGATATTCCGCCTGTGCTTACGGAGAGTGCATAAATCCATGTTTGCTTTTGCGCTGCTGCACCGTGATGAGCTTATTTGCACCTAATGAGCAGCTGATGGGGACAGAGGCTGCGCAGCTGTTGCGCGCGGCGCAACGCGCGCGGTTGCATTGTTCTCCTCCTGCTGGATCAGAGCCTGATCTCTATGAGTGATGCAGGATGCATCTAAAGATGTTTTCTTGTGCGACCGCAGTGATCAGTTCCAGTCGCTGACAGATCCTTTGCAAGCCCTATATGATTAGGCGCGCATGTTAATGAAGCCAAGCCATTGGTTGTGTGCGCAAAGAAATCAGCTCATATAATCAAGCCCCTTTTAAATTGTAATAAAATGTGATATTTTCTCCTTGAAATCCCACCCAATCTGTTGCTCATTTGAAATGCTGCGATGTGTAGGCGTGTCCTTGTGCGTTGGCGGATTCAGAGCTGTGCAGAGTGGATGTGACTGATTTGTTTCTAAGCCTGCTGAGGCTTTATTATGGTAAAAAAAAAAAAAAATACTACTGTCAATGTGCTTTCACTTCAGTCTTAAAATGACTGCACAACCAGAGCCAGGTTTAAGAAGGAGAGGGTTCCTGGGCTTGGCACTATTTTTGAAAAATACCTGCAGTGTTAATGTAACACTTTGAGAGTACATTTGGTCCCACACTACATCAGAGTGGGACCAAATGTACTCTTGAGTGTTACTTTAACACTGCAACATGTGTGGGCAGGGCATGAGAGGGGAAACTAAATGAAACCCTAATCAGTCATTAGTCAAAATGGGGCGCATTGTTTCAATTCTCTACTTACTGTAAATATCACTTAGTTCACACAGTTGTCAGCACAAACCTGGCAACCATTGCATGAATAATAGGACTGTAACTAATGATTATTTCGTTATTTATAACGATTAACCATTATTTTACATTTTTCCTCTTAAGGAGTTCTGGATAGAGCGTTTTAACAGGCACCAACTTTTTTATGTTAAATGCAAAATCTTCATTTTATTTTTGATTGGTTGCTCTGACAGCTAAAAGCATGTTTTACAGTCTCTATACTCTAGTTAACCATAAATCGATTACTAAATTAGTTGACTAAATCACTAATGAACAGCATTCAGTTACAAAAAGCTAAAAAAAGAATTGAACCTTGGACTCATCCGGCTTTTTTTTTTTTTTTTTTACAATTTAAACAACAAGAAAGAAAACAAAATGCAAAAAAAATATGAAAAAATAAACACAAAAAAACAAATGACGGATTGAATTAGTATTAGTGACACACCAGATTATCTTTAACCCTTTTGCCATCTCTGGTGAAAAAGGTCAGTCGGAATTTGTTCCCTTAGTATGTTCACCTGTTTGAATGTCTTCATCCATTCAGCTACAGTTAGTGATTTCAATTTCTTCTATTTCAATGTTCTTTGCAAACAGCAATAAAATATGGCTGTAAAATCCCAGCAGCATTATGTCTAGTAAAGAAGTGTTGCATGCAGAGTTTGGCTCCTGCCACAGTGATTCTGCTCGGTCATAGCCTCGTCTATGACGTAAGGTGCAGGAGTTGGGTGTCCCTCAGCAGTGAGACTTAACATCATCCTCTCCTGAGGGAAACATCCACTGTCCAATGAAAGCCTTTAATCGCACAACTTCATTTCCTAGAGTGGGTGAGCTTGTTGAAGCCCCTGAGGATAGCTGAGCAGGAGGACAATGATATTTATAGCTAGCTATTAGGCCTCTGAATTCCTTAATCACATTTTCTTCATAGAAGTAGTGAGATTATTGAGATGCATTCATCCAGCCAGGCCTCCACTGTCTAGACTGCTGCCTCAGGTGCGTATATGTCCAAAAATAAGACAAACAGTGAGGAATTTGGAAGACTGCTTGTTTGTTGGTGCAATCATTTGACATCTGTAATGTGGCCAAGCTTGCAGCATCCGTTAAGAAGCTGAAGATTTGCGGTGGGGGGTTGCAAGAAGGCGAGAGCTGTCACTTAAGGAGTGTTGGCGGATGCCAGGGATTTTGAATTAGAGAGCAAAGGAATGAAGTTTAGAAAAGAAGGCGTTTACTTCCGAATATATACACTATATTGCCAAAAGTATTTGCTCACCTGCCTTGACTCACATATGAGCTTAAGTGACATCCCGTTCCTAATCCATAGGGTTCAATATGACGTCGGTCCACCCTTTGCAGCTAGAACAGCTTCAACTCTTCAGGGAAGGCTGTCCACAAGGTTTAGGAGTGTGTTTATGGGAATTTTTGACCATTCTTCCAGAAGCGCATTTGTGAGGTTGCACACTGATGTTGGACGAGAAGGCCTGGCTCTCAGTCTCCGCTCTAATTCATCCCAAAGGTGTTCTATCGGGTTGAGGTCAGGACTCTGTGCAGGCCAGTCAAGTTCATCCACACCAGACTCTGTCATCCATGTCTTTATGGACCTTGCTTTGTGCACTGGTGCACAGTCATGTTGGAAGAGGAAGGGGCCAGCTCCAAACTGTTCCCACAAAGTTGGGAGCATGGAATTGTCCAAAATGTCTTGGGATGCTGAAGCATTCAGAGTTCCTTTCACTGGAACTAAGGGGCCAAGCCCAGCTCCTGAAAAACAACCCCACACCATAATCCCCCCTCCAACAAACTTTACACTTGGCACAATGCAGTCAGACAAGTACCGTTCTCCTGGCAACCGCCAAACCCAGACCCGTCCATCAGATTGCCAGATGGAGAAGCGCGATTCGTCACTCCAGAGAACGCGTCTCCACTGCTCTAGAGTCCAGTGGCGGCGTGCTTTACACCACCGCATCCGACGCTTTGCATTGCACTTGGTGATGTATGGCTTGGATGCAGCTGCTCGACCATGGAAACCCATTCCATGAAGCTCTCTGCGCACTGTTCTTGAGCTAATCTGAAGGCCACATGAAGTTTGGAGGTCTGTAGTGATTGACTCTGCAGAAAGTTGGCGACCTCTTCGCACTATGCGCGTCAGCATCCGCTGACCCCGCTCCGTCAGTTTACGTGGCCTACCACTTCGTGGCTGAGTTGCTGTCGTTCCCAAACACTTCCATTTTCTTATAATACAGCTGACAGTTGACTGTGGAATATTTAGGAGCGAGGAAATTTCACGACTGGATTTGTTGCACAGGTGGCATCCTATCACAGTTCCACGCTGGAATTCACTGAGCTCCTGAGAGCGACCCATTCTTTCACAAATGTTTGTAAAAACAGTCTGCATGCCTAGGTGCTTGAATTTATACACCTGTGGCCATGGAAGTGATTGGAACACCTGATTCCAATAATTTGGATGGGTGAGCAAATACTTTTGGCAATATAGTGTAGTTGTGTGTATTCACCAAACTCTTTTTATATTCAGGAGAAATTAGGCGATAAACACACTCAAGTCTGATGCATTTGAACCATGTCAGTAAAGACGTATTGAGACATGACAGCATGAGATCTCACAATATAAAGGCCCCATAATATTTTCTGTCAAATTGAACTGTGAAGTGAAAGTTATTGAGAATAATACAAATAAGTTCTATATTTTATCAGCATCTTTACCTTCGTATACGAAGGAAAAAAATGATGTACCTTCAGGATGCTAATTTTGAACCTTTAATTTGTCATTATTCATTAACATATTAGAAATAAGAAATCAAAAGAAAAAAAAATCAAGAACTCCTAACTACATGACTAAGAGATGAAAACCAAGGTTTTATAATATTGTTAGTTGATTAAAGGTCTGACTTTATCTAAAGTATATTGGTATTCTTGTTTTTAAAGGCACCCCATGTAACTTTTGGCCACTAGGGGCACTAGACCTGTAACTGCCTGTATTTTGCTTCTACTAAACATCGACAATAATAAAAAAGATAGATGTCTGTATCTTTGGAAAAATAGAGGAGCAAAAGCCTTAGCTCTATGACTATATAAGAGTCTGTAAAGCGATACGTTCTTCCAGGTCACATGATCTGGCCAACGACTGTGCATCTTCTTCCAACTTACATAGTCAGTATTTCAAGAGAGGAGCCCCACTCTTAGCATTGGTAGTGTCAAGGCCTGAGGAATCATTTAAAATAACTCATCTGCATCAACTCTTTAGGTCACTAAGTCTGTGGTGTGCCTTTAAGTCTAAAGTGTAATAATTTGCACAGCCTTCAAGAAACGTTCAAATGACTTTTGTTCAATCATTTATCACCCTGATCCTATATAATTTTGAATATAGCTTTTCTTGGCTCAGCAGAGGGACCACTGCATCTTCTGTTAGAATATAGAAACTAATAATACCCAAAAGAAACCTTGCATACTGCATTTTTTTCAGCTTTTTTATTGTTCACTGTCACAGGTACAGAGCCACGAAATTCACTCTCTGCTTATAACCCATCCCCTTGGAGAGCAGTGGGCTGCCATGGTGTGGTGCCCAGGGAGCAGTGTGAGGTTAAGGGTCTTTTGCTCAGGGACCCAGAGTGGCAGTCCGTGGGAGTGGGGCTTGAACTCAGAACCTCTGGATTCCAAGCGCAATGAAGAATAAAAAAAAAATTATCTTATATACCTACTTAAATTAAGGGTAAATATACTTAATTTAACAAATGACTTATTTCTAGATCATTTTTGCAGCATGACTGTGTAAATTCGCAGTCATCTGGGTCATGGCCACCACAAAATGGGCTTTAATTGGAAAGCAACCCAAAA